TTAGTGGGTGTGTCTATTAGTAGGAATGTACATGTATATTAGTAGGTGTATCTATCAGTAGGCGTGTCTATTAGGCATGTCTATTAGTGGGTGTGTCTATTAGTAGGAATGTATATTAGTAGGTGTATCTATCAGTAGGCATGTCTATTAGTAGGTGTGTATGTTAGTGGGCGTGTCTGTTAGTAGGCGTGTCTATTAGGCATGTCTATTAGTGGGTGTGTCTATTAGCAGGTGTGTCTATTAGTGGGTGTGTCTCTCAGTGGGCATGTCTCTTAGTGGGCATGTCTTTTAGTAGGCGTGGCTATAAGTGGACATGTAACTATTAGTGGGTGTGTCTATTAGTAGGCGTGTATCTATTAGTGGGTGTGTCTATTAGTAGGCGTGTATCTATTAGTGGGTGTGTCTGTTAGTAGGCGTGTATCTATTTGTACACTTTTTAGCAGAGCAAATATGGTATTTATATATATATATATATATAGGTTTTTTTAATTCAACATTTTTTTGTGTATTTTTCTAACTTCTCAAATGTCTAATTGCCTTAATTGGAAGTTCTGAAAACAAATTATTTTGATGTAATTTGTGACAAAAATTGACTGGTGTTCAAAAGTTTAAGTCAATACAACCCGAAACTTGTGGAGCATTGTCACCATAGTTGCATTTAGACACACACACTGAAATCTCTAGATTGAGACAGACACACAAAATAGTTCACGTCATTGAAATGTTTCCTGATGTACCTGATTTTGAAATTTTTCAATATTTTCTTCATAGCCAAACAAATTAAGAAACAAATCTAGTACAACCTCTAACAAGACACGGCGAAGAAAACGATTTCTGGGTAAGTGCTACATTTTAACATGTAATACTGCATTGTTTCCATACTTTGATATTCACAATTGTAATGCAGAGAAAAGCATATCCATCCATTTATTTGACAGAGACTCTCAATGGGCAAGGTTTTAATAGTTAAACTATGTTTTTATTAGATGGTGAGCAAGATTGTGACAAGAGTAGCTGTATTTCAGCCCAGTACAATACATATTTTCTGTGGTACACGCCATACAGGCAACCATTTCGCCGTGTGAATGACTGTCCTAGGGCATTCAATGATAGTTATCAGCTACAGCATCCTGACCTAACAGAGGGTCAGAAACATTATCTATGGCACACTGCATCCATCTATAGTATGAAAAATATGAAAAAATTACAACAGAAGAATTATGAAAGAGTGTTACTGAAACAACAAGACTTGGGTAAGTTTTGTGTTGATATTTGAAAAATGTGAATTGATGTTTCTCAAGGCAAAACATCTTCCTTGGCCTTGAGTCTTCCATTCTGCGACATCTACCTTAGAGTCTTTGATGACATCATTCATCTTAACACAGTCTTTGATGACATCATTCATTTTAGCAGTCTCTGATGATGTCATTCA